CTAACAAGAGATTAGTAATAATTTGCTAGATTTTGCTTAATAAATTTTTCTTTTTGTTTCTTTTACCCTGTATCGTATCGAATATTTTATATTCTCTTAAGTCTACATTCCAATGGAACAAGTCGATTTGATAAATAGAAGTTCAAATAGAAAAAATAATGACAGAAAGAATTTATCCTGCAGGAAATATGCAAGAAAAAATTAAATAAAAAAATAAAGAAAAAATACAAAAACCTGGCAAGCATTATTAAAAATAGGAGAATAAAATGGTATTGAATAAGAATAAGAAAGTATACATGGTTTCTTGGAATAAATGTTGAATGTACTACTAATACTACACTGCATACAACAAAATTTAATACACTTAAAAAATTAAATCGCATCTAGGTAGGTATATGTACTTGCACATTTGAAGCCATTCTCTCATTTGCGACCTAGAATTTAGACAGAAATTTCTATATTTATTTACAAAGTTAACTATGAGAAGTAAGCTGCGTAGTTATTTGACAGTTGAATTAAAGAAATTAATTTATATTACAATTATCAATTTTATTTTAGAAAATGAAATGTACAGTAGAAGAAGAACCAAGAACCTGCGCATTTGAACAAAAATCCACTTACTTAAATGATTTTCGTCAGTGTGTTCCAGATAAACGTGAAAGGTATACCTGGCCAAAAGAACGTTGTCCTTCTCCTCCTGTAATTCGTGTACATAAGGACTTTCGACCAACTCACGTTTATAAAGATTCTCAAACTTTATGTCACTGGAAAGAAAATGCAAAAGTACCTTTTTATTTATACTGGAAGCCTAAAGATAGTGTCAATTCTGATCCAACAAAAATTGTAGAAATTCCCTCAAAACAGGTAAAAATTAACGGAAGTATACTTCATTTACTTTCTCTAGCGATGTGCCCTTTCCAATGTCTTGGATGCGCGCTGGCAAAATCGTAAGTAGGGACAAAAAAGCTCTTTATACTCTCGACTCTTGCTCATTAAGCATACTTTTTAATACAGTACCTGCCAAAAGTGTTGAACAGTAGTGCGAGTCGAAAACGATCGTTAAAGCCTTAAATATGTCTTCAGTAGGATTAACATTTCAGTCAAATATGGCGCAATGCATNATGATGATGATGATGATAATAATAATCTTAGATTACATTATTAGATAATTGGGGAACATAAGGAATTATCACAGGGTGAGTAAAGATGGTAAGCCGTCTCACCACCCTGCATCTTGAATTCAACTCGCGACTCTCGACTTCACTTCTTGCTTATAATTATTGATTCCGCTATTTAACCGGTTGCTACTTGACCTACTATACTAACACAGTAGATAAGTAGGCGTTAGTGTGCAGTTTTAAATAAACAATTTGGATTTACCAATCTTGCACCAGTGACCTAAATAAAAACTTATAGATACTATGTAATACTATGTATCATTTCTGAAATTCTTTTCTTTGGAAGTATTACTTGGAGTTTGTTTTCGGTTCCATTTGGACTCTCCAAGTACATTGGGATGAAACTCCATCTCCTATAAGTCTGTAGTACTTGGGCTGTGTCGGCAAATCCTCGTATGAATCTTCGGTATTAGGAGCAAAGTTCTAATTGTAAGTTTTTGCCGATCCTTTGGTGTGACCCAATTTTGAAGGATATTCGCTTTGTCAGGGCTGGTCTCAATTCCTTCCGGTGTTATGGCATAGCCTAGATATTTCACTTCTGGATGCATTTCTTTGAACTTACTTTCAATTTTGCAGATGTCAATTCCTTAAAGGCTTTTGTCACGTTTTGGAAATGGTCTTCAAAAGTTTCTGCCAGAATGATGTCGACTAAGAAAACCGAACAAATTTTCCAATTTAGTCCTTATAGTACAGTGTCCATCAATCTTTCGAATGTGCACAATCCAAAAGGCATCACATTGAATTGCTACATACCATTTCAAATTGTAAAAACAGTGTTCTCCCTAGCTCCAGCTAGACTGTCTAGTGTTTTGTTGATTCGTGGTAATGACTAACAGTCTTTCTGCAGTACACCTTTCAGCTACGTGTAATTCACACAGAACCTCTCGGAATCATCTTTCTTGTGTATTANCTCAATTAGCATTTAATTCTCAACTTATAATAGATTTGATATCACGCTTTTCATTGTGTCTTTGTAAATACTATTTTTCTTATACAAAAATAGCCCTTAATTAGCGGTTAATTCACAGCATTTCCATGAATGAATTTGTTACTAGCTTTTCTTTTTTTCGTTTCTTAACTTTTGTGATAATCAGGTTCTCATTACATGTTTATTTTTTGTTTATCGCGAATTTTTATCTGCAGCCAATGAGTACCTAAATAGCTCTTAAATTTGTCCACGGTATCATTTTTGTAATTTTGTTTCTTTCATTTGTCATCGTGTCTGAATTGTTTATTTGAACTATATCAGTGTATGCATTGCGCTATATTTGACTGAAATGTTAATCCTACTGTCTCAGAGCACCCAAATAGCACCTAAATTGGTTGTTCATACTTTCGATTTTTAATAATAAATGCATGGTTTCGTGTCAGCTTTACGTCAGATAGCACAAAATTATTGTATCGTGAATAACTTTTTTATTTGAAGAGCACCTAATTTATAACTTTGGCACCAAATTAGCCCCTGAAAAGCCCCTAATTTTGGCATTTTCGAAAATCATTTTCGGGACTTTGTGGTGCCAGCTTCACGGTCCTACTGTACGGATTATACGCTCCTCACCGGTTAAGAGTTTGGCCTCTTCTACTTTGCTCGGGTCAAACTAAAGGTCACATCGCTACAGAAACTAAACGAAGTATACCTGTTTTTGTGTACATATGTAGCTACATATATGTAATTAGAGACAGTAGAAATATAAGTATTAAAAATCATACAACAAACTAATGTGGCTTAGTAAGTTGAAGCAATGGAATTATTTTAAATGATTCTCTTTGTAATCAACAATAAACGTTTAACGAATCAAGACTAACAATAAGTTCAGTTGGATGTACGCGCTTTTAACACGCAACGATGTTCGTAAAGTTGTTGACGTAAGAACGACCGTCGTGTATTATAAGTAATAAAAATCTCATTGAAAATGTCATCTACCATTATATATTCCATCTGAACTTCAACTGAACATTTCAATTATAAAAACCGAACCTAAAATGGCGTCAAAAATACGTCATTTATATTTAACAGCCAACAACCGATTTTGGCAAATGGCTGTTTCAACAATCTTTAGTTTGTTATTTTCTATATAAGTTTATTAGTATATAATCCTGCACAAATTAGCATCTCCATAAATAATTGTAAAGATACGTATCAGTGCTATTCCCAAGACCACCCGTGCTACTAACCAGTG